ACCCTTACCTCTATACTGATAGGTAAGGGTATCTATCAGTATAGGAGTAAGGGTACCTATATATCAGTATAGAGGTAAGGGTAGCCCATACCTCTATATATCAGTATAGAGGTATGTGAAGCTATCTATCAGTATAGAGGTAAGGGTAGCTATACTGATAGATAGCTACCCTTACCTCTATACTGATAGATAGCTTCCCATACCTCTATACTGATATATAGCTACCCTTACCTCTATACTGATAGATAGATACCCTTACCTCTATGCTGATAGATACCCTTACCTCTATACTAATAGATACCCTTACCTCTTTACTGATAGATACCCTTACCTCTATACTAATAGATACCCTTACCTCTTTACTGATTGATACCCTTACCTTCATACTGATAGGTACCTCTATACAGATAGGTTCCCTTACCTCTATACTGATAGGAAACCTTACCTCTATACTGATAGATACATACCCTTCCCTCTATACTGATAGATAGATTCCCTTACCTCTATGCTGATAGAGGTAAGGGTATCTATCTATCAGTATAGAGATAAGGGTAGCTATATATCAGTATAGTGGTAAGGGTAGCTATCTATCAGTATAGAGGTAAGGGTACCTCTATACTGATATATAGCTACCCTTACCTCAATACTGATAGGTACTCTTACCTCTATACTGATAGATAGATACCCTTACCTCTATACTGATAGATAGGTACCCTTACCTCTATACTGATAGGTACCCTTACCTCTATACTGATAGATAGCTACCCATACCTCTATACTGATATATAGTCCTCTATACTGATAGATAGATAGGTACCCCTTCCTCTATACTGATAGCTACCCTTACTTCTATACTGATAGATAGGTACCCTTACCTCTATACTGATAGATAGGCACCCTTAACTCTATACTGATCGATATCCTTACCTCTATACTGATAGATAGCTACCCTTTCCTCTATACTGATAGATAGGTACCCTTACCCTTACCTCTATACTGAAAGATACCGTTACCTCTTTACTTATAGGTACCCTTACCTCTATACTGATAGTACCCTTACCTCTATACAGATAGGTAATCTTACCTCTATACTAATAGGTACCCTTACATCTATAATGATAGTTAGGTACCCTTACCTCTATGCTGATATATACCTTTACCTCTATACTGATAGGTACCTCTATAAAGATAGGTACCCTTACCTCTATACTGAAAGATACCGTTACCTCTTTACTTATAGGTACCCTTACCTCTATACTGATATATAGCTACCCTTACCTCTATACTGATAGATAGCTACCCTTACCTCTATTCTGATATATAGGTACCCTTACCTCTATACTGATATATACCTACCCTTACCTCTATACTGATAGGTACCCTTATCTCTACACTGATAGGCACCCTTACCTCTATACTGATCGATACCCTTACCTCTATACTGATAGATACCGTTACCTCTTTACTTATAGGTACCCTTACCTCTATACTGATAGATAGGCACCCTTACCTCTATACTGATAGTTACCCTTCCCTCTATACCCATAGGTACCCTTACCTCTATACTGATATATAGCTACCCTTACCTCAATACTGATAGGTACACCTCTATACTGATAGATAGGTACACTTACCTCTATACTGATAGATAGGCACCCTTACCTCTATACTGATCGATACCCTTACCTCTATACTGATAGATTCCCTTACCTCTTTACTGATAGGTACCCTTACCTCTACACTGATAGATAGCTACCCTTACCTCAATACTGATAGGTACACCTCTATACTGATAGATAGGTACACTTACCTCTATACTGATAGATAGGCACCCTTACCTCTATACTGATAGTTACCCTTACCTCTATACCCATAGGTACCCTTACCTCTATACTGATAGATACCCTTACCTCTTTACTGATAAGTACCCTTACCTCTACACTGATAGATAGCTACCCTTCCCTCAATACTGATAGGTACCCCTACCTTTATATTGATAGCTACCCTTACCCTTACCTCTATACCCTTATCTCTATACTGATAGATAGCTACCCTTACCTCTATACCCTTACCTCTATACTGATAGCTACCCTTACTTCTATACTGATAGATAGGTACACTTACCTCTATACTGATAGATAGGCACCCTTAACGCTATACTGATCGATATCCTTACCTCTATACTGATAGATAGCTACCCATACCTCTATACTGATATATAGCTACCCTTACCTCTATACTGATATATAGCTACCCTTACCTCTATACTGATATATAGCTACCCTTACCTCAATACTGATAGGTACACCTCTATACTGATAGATAGGTACACTTACCTCTATACTGATAGATAGGCACCCTTAACTCTATACTGAGCGATATCCTTCCCTCTATACTGATAGATAGCTACCCTTACCTCTATTCTGATATATAGGTACCCTTACCTCTATACTGATAGATACCGTTACCTCTTTACTTATAGGTACCCTTACCTCTATACTGATAGGTTCCCTTACCTCTATACTTATAGATAGGTACCCTTACCGATAGATACCCTTACCTCTATACAGATAGGTATCCTTACCTCTATACTGATAGGTACCCTTACCTCTATACTGATATATACCTACCCTTACCTCTATACTGATAGGTACCCTTACCTCTATACTGATAGATACCCTTACCTCTTTACTGATAGGTACCCTTACCTCTACACTGATAGATAGTTACCCTTACCTCTATACTGATAGTTACCCTTACCTCTATACTCATAGGTTCCCTTACCTCTATACTGATAGATACCGTTACCTCTATACTGATAGATTCCCTTACCTCTTTACTGATAGGTACCCTTACCTCTACACTGATAGATAGTTACTCTTACCTCTATACTGATAGTTACTCTATACTGATAGGTATCCTTACCCCTATACTGATAGGTACCCTTACCTCTGTACTTATAGGTAGGTAGCCTTACCTCTATACTGATAGCTACCCTTAACTCTATACTGATAGGTATCCTTACCCCTATACTGATAGGTACCCTTACCTCTATACTGATAGGTATCCTTATCTCAGTTAGTTGTTCTGTTTTGTGGTACATCTAACTGATCATGATGTTGACTGTCTCAATTTCAACAGCTGGCGGCCATGACAGTTTACATGGTTTCTGCATGCGAGACTGTTTCGATGCTTTTAAGGTACATGATCATGCATTTTATAAGAATGTGTTTTTACATTGATTCTTGACGTCTCTGCACTAGGATCTGAAGAAAAACTTGACATAAAACACACCTGCTGTTGCTATATTGACTCCACACAAAACTGTCACTCATCATTAAAAAAATATTATACGACGTAAGAAAAAGTGAAAAATGCCTAGAGAGAAGACATTAATAATGAATTGAATGACGAAAAAAATGAATGGAAAACAGGTAGAAATACTTTCAAAAACAAATGATGATAAATTAGATTTTGTTAAAACCTTTGTAAACAGATATGGCAAGTGAATCATTCATTACGTAGGCAGCATTCTCCCAATGTTCTTTTATGAAGTTATCATGAGAAGTGCTTTTTCTTGTGCATGCTGACAAATAATTACTTAGTTGACAATAGAGTTGTGACATCGCCTGGTCTGTATCTCTCTACAGCTACACACTTTTTACGCTCAGTTCCATGTTCATTAAACATATCACATGCTTTAGAAATATGGATTTTCTGTTTAATTTAGGGCACATCTGGTATGTTTTATCGTACCGCTTAGAAAATTAGGTAACCAGGGATCGAAAAATAACATACGCTGTAACAAAATTAGTTTTGTTAATCTAAGGAGTGTCAGCTTATATTCAATGTTATTTTGTCCCATTTTTGTGCCAGGTTTATTTCTTCAAGTACCCTTAAAGTAAATAAATACTCTCAGTTATTACCTGTCTACTGCCAGTTATATAACCTGTCTACTGTCACTTATTACCTGTCTACTCTCAGTTATTACCTGTCTTCTGTCAGTTATTACTGTCTACTGTCAGTTATTACCTGTCTTCTGTCAGTAATTACCTGGCTACTGTCAGTGATTACCTGTCTTCTGTCAAATATTACCTGTCTATTACCAGTTATTACCCATCTTCTGTCAGTTATTACCTGTCTACTACCAAGTATTACCTGTCTACTATCAGTTATTGCCTGTGTACTACCAGTTATTACCTGTCTACTGTCAGTTATTACCTGTCTACTATCACTTATTACCTGTCTACTGCCAGTTATAACCTGTCTTCTGTCAGTTATAACTGTCTACTGTCAGTTATTACCTGTCTTCTGTCAGTAATTACCTGGCTACTGTCAGTGATTACCTGTCTTCTGTCAAATATTACCTGTCTATTACCAGTTATTACCCGTCTTCTGTCAGTTATTACCTGTCTACTACCAAGTATTACCTGTCTACTATCAGTTATTGCCTGTGTACTACTAGTTATTACCTGTATACTGTCAGTTATTACCTGTCTACTATCACTTATTACCTGTCTACTGTCAGTTATTACCTGTCTACAGTCAGTTATTACCTGTCTACAGTCAGTTATTACCTGTCAACTGTCAGTTATTACCTGTCAAGTGTCAGTTATGACATGTCTACTACCAATTTCTAACTGTCTACTGTCAGTTATTACCTGTCTTCTGTCAGTTATTACCTGTTTACTGTCAGTTATTACCCGTCTTCTGTCAGTTAAAACCTGTCTACTGTCAGTTATTACCTGTCTTCTGTCAGTTATTACCTGTCTACTGTCAGTTATTACCTGTCTTCTGTCAGTTATTACCTGTCTACTGTCAGTTATTACCTGTCTATTGTCAGTTATTACCTGTCTACTGTCAGTCATTACCTGTCTATTGTCAGTTATTACCTGTCAAGTGTCAGGTTATTACCTGTCTAATATCAGTTATTACCTGTTTAATATCAGTTATTACATGATAGTACATTACCAATTATGAATTATCAGGATGTCCTTTACCTTGCCCGATACAGCTGCTGAATAGTCCGCAGGAACGTGTCCCTGAACTGGATTTCATCATCCATCATCTTATGAGAGTCGTGTCCATGAAACAATTAGAAATGTTCCATGGTGGACAGTCTGTAAAGACAACACCATGCAAACATTATTTATATATTTCTTACTTTCCTTGTTTTGGATTATTCACTGTATATGATAAGAATATGTAGTTGTTCAAATACCTGCATAATTATTTAGTCATCCTAAAGTTGACCTTGACCTCAGAAACAGACAAATTTCACTTTTGTCTTTAATTTTTAACAACAAACTAACACTTGAATTCAAAATCAATACTGTAAAAATGGAAATTTTTACTACCTTGATATTATTGCGTTTTTCGCATGGAGTAAATTAGTGTGAAAATATCCACACACAAATATTTATTTATAGATTAAGGATAAAGAGAAATTCCAAAACTTCCACACCATGGTCAGTTTGGTAAAGTTTGTTTGTGTTTTACGTCCTATTAACAGCTTTGGTCATTTCAGGACGCACCAGGTTTTTGTGGTGGAGGAAAGCCGGAGTTCCCGAAAAAAACCACCGACCTATGGCCAGTACCTGGCGACTGCCCCATGTAGGCCTCGAACCCGCGATCCAGTGGTGGAGGGCTAGAGGTAGCAGAATGTCATACACATTAACCACTTGGCCACCGCGGCCCAACACCAAGGTTTTGACCCTTTTTACACCATGGTCAGTTTAAAGGGTCACAATGCAACGTTGCGAACATTTCCACACAACAAAAATGTCCACTTATACCATATTCAAAGTCAGTGAACAGAAATTAACCAATACCCCCTGCCCCCTCATCTAATTTAGCTGAAATTAAGTCAATTACCACTTACAGTCAAATAAAGTAATGCAGGGAATATCACATTTTATCAAAATCTGTTCAAAAATTATCAATCTTGGCCCGTACTCATGAAACCACCCTCATACTCAAGCATGAATTCTGTGCTCCAACCAACTTTCTTGCACCTCACTTAAATTATATCAAATGATCAAAAAGTCAAATATAACCATTGGAAAAATTACTCAGAATTAAGTCTCTTTTTTTTTCTTCAATTCTTTGACAAAATAAGATTATTTTTTAAATCTAAACAAGGACATTAAGTTGAACAAACTGTACAGCCCTTCATCCCAGAATGCAACCTAATACATTTGTATCACCACCCTAGACCTTTTTTCTATTGAGAAGATGACTTTTTTAAGATTTGTTCATAATTGACCAGATGTGACCATGAAAGTGTGTCAAGGTCATTCACATGAACAAACTTGATGGCTCTTCATCTGAGCATTCTACTGGCCACATATCACCACCCTTTGCATTTTGGTCATTTAGAAGAACTGTGGTTTGAAGTTTTTAACATGTTTGACCACTGTGACCTTTAAATATGATTTAAGGTATTTTTTTACAAATTTTTCAAATCTTTCATACTACCATGCTACTGACTGTTTTTTTTAGATAGGAGAAGTTGTTTAAGTTTTTAACATATTTGACCCCTATGAACTTGAATACAGGCGAAGGTCGTTCATTTGAAACAACTTGGAAGCCCTTCATTCCCGCACGCTTCTGGACAAATATCATCACCCTGGACATTTTGGTTGTGAAGAAGAAGTTGTTTAAAGATTTCAACATATTTTGACACCTTTGACTTTGAATATTGGTGAAGGTCAGTCATTTGAACAAACTTGGTAGCCCTTCACCTCAGCATGAAGAAGCGGTTTAAAGTAAAAACTGGACATGGGACAACGGACGAAGGACACAAGTGCGTCATTGCATAAGCTCACTTGGCTCTTCGAGCCAGGTGAGTTTAAAATATTTTCCATAAAGCACTACAAAAATCAGTGACAGTCGGAGCGACATATATTATTTATCTTCTACGCTGATGTGACGTGACGTCACACTCACTCCATCATTCAGTTGTAACGTTAGTAGTGATCAATATAGGCCTGTAGATTACACATTTCAACATCAGTGGACAGTGGGATATCCTGGTCAGCAGGACAAAAATTACATACACACTGGCCATCACTAGGATATATAATACAAATCAAGTTTTCCTGGAATTTATACAAATATTTAAGAACCTGGGTATATTCACCGTATATCACTGTAGTCACACCTTGACTTAAATTTTTAATGACTTAATAACAGTATATTGTATCTATCAACAAGTCAACCTTGACTTAAGAAATTTCTGTGAACTATATCTTTCAAATACAAATTTTCGACAGAATCAGATAACTTTACAGACATTATTTACAATATCATGCCTTTATTCTTATTTTGCTTTGCCAGTGGAAGGGATGCAACTCCTGAACATTTCTTCATCACTGATAATATTTCAAATCATAATATGACATTTGAATCACTCATATTTCATTTTAATCATAATATTTATAATCAGGGATATTAAATATAAATAATGCCCTTAAATTAGCTTCAAAACATCCACGGAAGAAGTATTTACATGTTTATATAACAAATACCTGTCTCTAGAGGTATATATATAACAAACACCTGTCTATAGAGGTATCTATATATAACATACACCTGTCTATAGAGGTATCTATATATAATATACACATTTCTATAGAGGTGTATATATATAACATACATCTGTCTATAGAGGTATATATATATAACATATATCTGTCTATAGAGGTATCTATATATAACATACACCTGTCTATAGAGGTATCTATATATAACATATGCCTGTCTATAGAGGTATCTATATATAACATATAACATACACCTGTCTATAATGGTACATATATCTATATATAGCAAACACCTGTCTATAGAGGTATATATATAGCATACATCTATCTATAGAGGTATATATATATAACATACACCTGTATATAGAGGTATATATAACATACAACTGACTATAGAGGTTTCTATATATAATATACACCTGTCTAAAGAGGTATCTATAAATAACATACACCTGTCTATAGAGGTATATATATATATAACATACACCTGTCTATAGAAGTATCTATATATAACATAAACCTGTGTATGGTGGTATCTATATATAACATACACCTGTCTACAGAGGTATCTATATATTACATACACCTGTCTATAGAGGTATCTATATATAACATACGCCTGTCTAAAGAGGTATCTATAAATAACATACCCCTGTCTATAGATGTATCTATATATAACATACACCTGTCTATACAAGTATCTATATATAGCATACACCTGTCTATAGAGGTATCCATATATAACATATGCCTGTCTATACAAGTCTCTATATATAGCATACACCTGTCTAAACAAGTATCTATATATAACATATGCCTGTCTATAGAGGTATCTTTATATGATATATAACATACACCTGTCTATAATGGTACATGTATCTATATATAACAAACACCTGTCTAT